TTGATAATTGATCACATCTATGTGAGGAAACCTCCACAAAATCCCAACAGTAGTGGGTCCAGAGGACTTCCAGGCTGGAGAACACACTCCCATACCAGGAAGGTGACATACTACAACTCCACGGGGACAGAAGCACCTGCGCTTAAGGCCCTCCCAGACTTTGCCATATGTCTATCCTCATCTGGCTATTCATCTGTGTTATCATATCATTTAATAAACTGGTAAATGTAAATAAGTGTTTCCCTGAGTTGTGTCAGCTGCTCTAGCAAATTAATCAAACCTCAGGAAGGATCATGTGAATCTCTGATGTGTAACCAAATTGAATAGAAGTTTTGTGTAACCTGGGGATCTACTACTTGTGATTGGCATCTGATGTTGGGGGCAGTCATGTGGGACTGAAGCCTTAATGGGGTCTGATACTATTTGTAGGTAGATAGTGTTGGAATTGGGTAAACTTTTAGGACACCCAACTGTTGTTGCATAGAATTGCTTGATATGGGAAAAACTCCATACACATTTGGTAACCAGAGTTACCAAGTGTTATGTATGTATGTGATGGTGGTGTCAAAGTAAAAAAGACACATTGGAGAGGAACATAAGAAGAAAGAACAGGATTTTCCCCTGCTCAAAAGAGAGAATTGTAGAGTTCTCAAGCACAGAACTCTTTATTTGGGTTTTTCTATTAAGAACAGCTCTTAATATACAAGTACAAAGTTTTATTTTGAAAATAGACTTACCTGTGGAATGATACAACACAAGGTATGTATGTGAACATTCAACTTAAGGAGGTAAATCCAAACTCTTTTCTAGTAGTTACTTTATATTGAACAGCAATGCATGGAAGATGTTATTGAAATACAGAAATGGTATTTTCAGACCTTTTCATTTTTCTCAAAAGGATTAGTATAAAATAATATCTCATGATGGTATGTATAATTTACTGACTAATAGACAAGATTGAACGTTTTCTTTATATATTTATTGGCTATATATGTTATTTCTGTCATATGCCTGCTCATTTCTATTTTTCTATTGGGCTGTTTGTACTCCTCTTACTGATGAGTAGAGATTCTTTGTATATTACTAATTGTAATCTAGTAGTTTTATGCATTATAAATATTTTCTCCAACTTTGTTACTTGTCATTTCATCCTATATGTAGGCTTTTGATGAACAAAAATTCTTAATTTTTAGTATCTTTAAATTTGTCAATTTTTAAAAATTTATTGCCAATGCCTGTTTGTGACAAGAAAACCCTGTACAAAGATATTGAAAAACTTAATTTTTTCAAATGATATTTTAAAATTTTGTTTTTGATAAGTAGATATTTAATACATCTGAAGTTGATTTTTCTATATGATATGAGATACTAATCCAGTATCATCTTTTTCCATAAGGATATACTTTTCCCTAGGTCTGTTTATTTTTTTTTTAATATTTTTATTTATTTCTAGGAGAGAGAGAGAGAGACAGCGTGAGCAGGGGAGGGTCAGAGAGAGAGGGAGACACAGACTCTGAAATAGGCTCCAGGCTCTGAGCTGGCAGTCAGCACACAGCCTGACGCGAGGCTCGAACCCACGAACCGCGAGATCATGACCTAAGCGAAAGTCGGACGCTTAACCGACTAAGCCACCCAGGCGCCCCAATTATATTTCTTTTAATTAATGATATACTTGGACCTGCTTCTACCGTATTAATTTATTATTTCAGTTTGTCACCCTTTTACTAAGTTTCTTACTAATTCAGTTCAACTGAATCAGGGGACTGAAGGACTCAATGGGGAAAAATTCTAAGGAAAACCCAAAACTAATACATTACTGATATATTATTGAGCCGGAATATTAAGTGTTTGAACTTACCGATTTAGAATGTTAACTCCATGAGGGAAGCAAGTAGAACATAGTAGGTACTCAATATATTAATTTTCGATGTTCCTGTCATATCTTCATTTTTTTGGACATTTTGGGAAGAAAGTAGTGATAGGAACAATGAAAACTAAGCAAGTAAAAAGGCAAGGCAACTATTAATTCCAGGGAAAACTAAAGGTCGTACAAGACAAGAAATGTGTTCATATTGTAAGAGAAGGTGTGAATAATATTTAAACAGTCATAACTATATAAACATTGACAAATATTTAATCAAAATGATAACTGACTAAATTGACTAAAAGAAGTATTGTCTGTGTAGTTATATATATAATGGGTTATTTAAGAGAGTTACATTTTCCATAGGAAGAAGTAGATAAAAAGCATAAAGCCAGTTACTTAGTTGGAAAAAAAAAGAGTGATACCAGAAAGAAGACCAAAACTGAAATATAATATTTAATATTTAATAAATACTGAAAATATTAAAAATAATTTCCTTTAAATGGCCCTTCACAAGGAAGGTTTCTGAACCCTTGATCTAGATAAATCAGATCCAGTTACATGTTGAAGTAAACTTATATATATATATAAATATATATAATATATATATTATATAAATATAATATGTATATATTTTTGACCAAAATCTAGCAGAAAATAAAATGTTATGTAATCCTAGCATTCAGTCACTCAATGCTGCTTTTGTCCAGAAGACATTTGTTTTTCATCTAGGAAAAGCAATTGCAAAACTTACCAATTTCCATAGAATGTGGGTGCGAAAACCTGACTGGAGCATATTTAAAGCAAATGAAAAAGGTTAACTTATGTCCAGTCTTGCCCAGGTCAGTTTTGACTTATGCCTATTTTCTTAGCATCAAAATTAACATCCACCCTCCCTTTTGGTTTTTGAAAAGTAAAGTTTAAATGATAACTCATATAGTTAGCCAACCAAGAACCTTTCCATCGCTAAATCTAATGGATATTTTTTCAGTCTTCTCTTGCTTGACCTATTAGTGGCATTTGACAAAGTCTGTCATTCCTTTCTCATGAACACTTTCTTCACTTGCTTTCTAGGACACCACATCTCTTATTTTCTTCCTATATTATGGGTGATTTATTTCTGTCTCCCCTGGCAAGACTCCCTCCCGCTTCTTCTGCATGATCTTGTAACACTGGAATACTTCATGGCTCAGTCCTTGGTCCTCTTCTTTATTTAATCTATATTAACTTCCTTAGTGATCTATCTAGTTTAATGGCTTATAAACACCTCTTACAGGCTGACCATTCCCAAACTGATGTATCCAGCCTGGATATTACTACCAAGCTTCAGATACATGTCTACTTATCATCTCTACTGGATCCCTGATAGATATATCAAAGTAAACATGTAAAAAATTGAATTAGAAGTGATGCTCCCCTGCCTCCTATTCTCACTCAAAAACAAAACAAACAAAAAGGTGCCATTCTACCTTCAGGTTTCCCCATCTCAGCGGATGGTATATCATCCATTTGGCTACTTAAGCCAAAACTTCTGGAGCAATACTTCCTTCTCTTTCTCTTCCAACACTTATCTTCCAGCATTTAATGCTGATTTTGCCCAAAAGACATTTTTCTGACCCAGGATAAACAATTGCAAAATGGATACATTTTTGTAGATTATGGGGCAGTTTGACTGGAGAGGAAAGAAGAGAAGTAAATGCTCTGCAAAGGACAGGGAGCGGAAGTTCTTTCAAGGTCACTAATGACTAATGATTTTATGTCCACTTTTGTCCAGAACAGTTCTGGTTTATGAGGGTGTATTAAAGGAAAATAGGAACATTGTCAAAAGAGTTATTCAAGTGTTACAATATTACTAGGTTTATATAATTTATGACACTTTTCTAAATTATTTTTTAATATGAGGAAAATAATTACATTATGATTCCATAAATCATGGCTATCTGATAATTGACATTAACATTCCTTTTCAAATAGAGCATTAATAAATGTAAAGAACAGCAAAAATATAGCTTAGGTTCCTGGGGCAGATGGGTGGGGCAAAAGAAAGGAGGAAATAAATGGCTCTCCAGTTCTCTACAAACACCAGATGTTGTAACTATTCTATAACTGGTAATACATTAGATTACTTCAAAGATGTTACAAAGTGAAATCACTGTACAGCCAGCTAATGTGTCTCTTTAAACACATGTTTCATCTTCCTGAAGAAAAACATTTCCCTGTGTGATGCAGTTCCACAGCCACAATAATAACAACATTTTTTAGAACTTTAAAAAAAATTTTAATGTGTATTTAATTTTGAGAGAGACAGAGACAGAGCATGAGCAGGGGAGGGCAGAGAGAGAGGGAGACACAATCCGAGGAAGATTCCAGGCTCTGAGCTGTCAGCACAGAGCCCAACACAGGGCTGGAACCTACGAATTAGAAGATCATGACCTGAGCCAAAGTCAGATGCGAATATTTTAGCCTTCACACATGCTATTACTGGGCACTTGGGAGGAATGTTCACTTATTTTTACAAAATGGTGAGTAACTCCCTATACCACTGGAAGTTTTATCTGAGGTCAAAATTGTAAACGGAAATAACTTCTCAGAACAGTTAAGTAGTATTGCTTTGCTTTAATATATCACGAAGAATGTCTTTTCAAAATATAAAATCTTGGTTTGCTAGGTGGAAGGTAGGGAAGGATTATATTACTTATGGAACAAGAGTTTAAAATTGACTCAATGTCACATTCTTCAAAGAACAAATAGTGAAAACTTCAGGGAAGTTCATTTATTCTCAGAGCGCCCTGTCCTGTGAGAACTCTGGTCTGTGTTTAGACAATTTGTCAGGCTTCTCTTGGCGACTCATCTTTTTACTTTATTATTGTTTGTTAAATTTCTTCCTTTTTCTTTTTATTTATTTTTATTGTTATTTATTTATTTAGTTAGTTAGTTAGTTTGGCTTTCTCTTTATCATATCTATGTGTCAAAATTCTATTAAGGTGTAGTGACAGTAAAACGAAACCCTGGAATCAGCGACGTCTCTGTACTGTGAAAACTCGGCCCTAAGCGGCTTCGCGAGGACACTAAATGTGAGCTGCTGGGCACCCGTAGCTCCGTGTCAAGCTCTGGCGCCGGCACCGGAAGTGGCCTCCCAGCTTGACTTCCGCTCCCGCAGTACCAACTCTGGCGGCTCGCCCACCGGTGGCCGGTAAACTGCTTGGGGGTCTGAGATCATGGAGGCAGCGCGCCCTCCCTCGACGGCCGGGAAGTTTGTGGTGGTTGGCGGTGGCATCGCGGGTGTCACTTGTGCTGAGCAGGTAAGCTGACGCGCAGTTCCGCGTCTTCCCTGACCCCGCGGCGGTGGCGTTCAAGGCACCCTCCCGCCCCCACCTTGTCCTTCCAGGTCCCTCTTTAGCCGCTTCTTTCCCCCTGTCCCTGCACTCCTTCTTGCTCTCGGATATTAGAGACTCCATGGCGGCCCCTGTACGAAGTCTTAGTTACCTTGCTAGCTTCGCTTTAGGCGTAGGGAGGAGGGATGGGAAGCAGGCTGTTGGCGGGTGGGACCCCAAAGCTGACTGAACTAGACTCTGGTGCTAGTTATTCCTGAGCAGACAAGAGGGCTTAAAACCGGTAAATAGTCGGTCAGAAACCCAGCCTCCTTTGTTCATTAGCTGATTGAATTCAGCTTTCAGGTAGGTGCCAGATCCTTAGTTCATCGTAATTGATAAACCCTTAGGTAGTTTCCTGTACTTTAAACTCCCAAGGAAGAGATTTCATCTGCAGTGATGTTTTGTGAAACAACCAACAAGGGATTAAATGCAGCTGGGGAATGCTTTTCTAATTATAGTGAATAATCAGACCAAATATATACATATCTACATTCCGAAAGAACTGTTTTGTTGCTATAAAGCAAACAGAAACAATCATTGAAGTCACAGAAGTAGTGCAGGAAATTATAATTGTTTTCAAACTTTTAATCTTTAGGTGTGTAAAGATTACTTCTTTCACCAAGTAAACACCTGTTACCCAGTTACTGTACTAAAGGCCGAGTAGTCAGTTATAAACAGCACGGTGCCTCCTTTTTAGGGACTGGCAATCTAGTGGAAAGGACATGTAAATAAATCATTTCATCAGTATGTTTGGCAGCTTAAGGGAGTCTGTGGTGTTGATAGTGCATGAATTGGGTGGGGGGGGGGGGTAGCCTGGAAGGTGATTTTAGTAGTCCAGGCCAACTGGAAGGTGAATTTAGTAGTCCAAAGAAATTTTGAGGCCAGGTATAGCAATAAAAACGAAGTGGGGAAATAACAATATACAAAGAGAAAAAAGATGGAGAAAGTGGTAATATCAAATATTACAGAAAGTTCAAATAAAGTGGTATTAAAAAGAAGTAAGTGGATTTTAAGGGTGTCGAAGTGAATTCAAGATGCTCCTTTTTTTCCGTTGTTCAAGTATTGACATACAGTATTCATCAGGTATACATCATAGTGAGTGGATATTGCAGTACATTATGAAATGAACATCTCAGTAGGCATAGTTACCTCCATCACTACACACAGTTGTTACAGTATTGACTGTATTCTCTATCCTGTACATTACATCTCTGTTTCTTACTTATTTTATAACTGGAAGTTTGTTCCTCTTAATCTCTTTAACCCATTTTGCCCTCTTCCTCACCCCCAACTCCAATTCCTTTTCACTTAGTAGTTTGTCCTGTATCTATGAGTATTTTGTTTACATTGTTTTTTTGTTTTCCACAAATAAGTGAAATTATATAGTATTTGTTTTTCTCTGACTGACTTCACTTAACATAATACCCTCTGGGTCCATTCATGTTGTCCAGACTGGCAAGATTTCATTTATAGCTGAATAATATTTCATTGAATATATTTATCTTTATATCTTTATCCATTCATTTCTCAGTAGACACTTAGGTTGCGTCCATTTCTTGGCTATTTAAATAATTCTGTAGTGAACACAGGAATGCATAGATCTCTGTGAGCTGTGTTTTTCTTTTCTTCCCATAAATACCTAGAAGTAGAATGGCTGGATCATATGGGATTTCTATTTTTAATTTTTTGAGGAATCTCCATACTATTTTCCATGGTGACTGCATCAGTTTACATTCTCAAAAACAGTGTACAGTGGTTCCCTTTTCTCCACATCCTCACCAACACTTGTTATTTCTTGTCTTTTTAATAGTAGCCAATCTGACAAGTGTGAGGTGGTATCTCATTGTAGTTTTGATTTGCATGTGTGATATTGAGCATATTTTCATGTATCTGAAGGCCATCTGTCTTCTTATGAAAAGGGTCTATCCATGTTCTGTCCATTTTTAAATTTTAAGTTGTGTAAGTTTTTAATATATTTTGGATATTAACCCCTGTTGGATGTATGATTTGCAAGTATCCTCTCCCATTCAGTAGGTTGTCTTTCCATTTTGTTGATGGTTTCCTTCTCTCCCCAAAAGCTTTTTAGTTTGATGTAATTTCTTTTGTTTATTTTAGCTTTTTAGCTTTTTGTTTTACCTTGTCTGAGGAAAATGGTTCAAAAAATATTGCTAAGATTGCTGTTAAAGAGCTTACTGCTCATGTTTTCTTCTAGGAGTTTTATGGCTTCAAGTCTTATATTCAAGTCTTTCATTTATTTTGACTTTATTTTTGTAGGAGACAGTGGTCTGGTTTCATTCTTTGGCATGTAAGCTGTCCAGTTTTCCCAGCATCATTTATGAAGAGACTCGCCCCCGCCCCCCCCCCCCACTGTATATTCTTGCCCCCTTTATCATAGATTAATTGACCATCTATGTGTGGACTTATATCTAGGCTCTGTGCTCCATATCATTAATCTTTGTGTCTGTTTTTGTGCCAGTACCATACTGTTTTGATTATGACAGCTGTGTAGTATGATTTGAAATCAGGAGGCATAATACCTCCAGCCTTGTTCTTCTTTCTCCTTTGGCTATTTGGGGTCTTTTGCAGTTTCATACAAATTTTAGGATTCTTTGTTCTAGTTCTATGGGCAGTATTTTGATGGGCATTGCATTGAATCTGTAGATTGCTTTGGGTAGTATGGACATTTAACAGTATTAAGTCTGCCAGTCCATGAGCATGATAGATCATTGAATTTATTTATGTCTTCTTCAGTTTCTTTCATCAGTGGCTTATACTTTTCAGAGTACAGGTCTTTCACTTCTTTGGTTAAATTTATTCGTAGATAGATGCTGGTGAGGATGTGAAGAAATGGACACCTTCCTACACTGTTGGTAGGACTGTAAACTGGTGCAGCCCCTCTGGAAAACAGTGTGGATGTTCCTCAGGAAACTAACAATAGAACTCCCCTATGACCCAGCAATAGCACTGCTAGGAATTTACCCAAGGGATACAGGAGTGCTGATACATAGGGGCACATGTACCCCAGTGTTCATAGCAGCACTCTCAACCACAGCCAAATCGCGGAAAGAGCCTAAGTGTCCATCAGCTGATGAATGGATCAAGAAGATGTGGTTTATCTATACAATGGAATACTGAATGGCAATGAGAAAGAATGAAATCTGGCCATGTGTAGCAACGTGGATGGAACTTGAGGGTGTTCTGCTGAGCGAAATAAGTCAGGCAGAGAAGGACAGATACCATATGTCTGCATGTGAGGGAGGATTAGGAGGAACTTAACGGAGGACCATGGGGGAGAAGAAGGGGAAAAATAGTGGGGCAGAGGGAGGGAGGCAAACCATGAGGACTCTTGAATGCTGAGAACAAACTGAGGGCAGATGGGGTGTGGAGGGAGGGAAAGAGGGGTGATGGGCATGGAGGAGGGCACCTGTGGGGATGAGCACCGGGTGTTATATAGAAACCAACTTGACAATAAACTATTTAAAAAAAAAAATTATTCCTAGATATCTTATTCTTTTTGATGCAATTATAAATGGGATTGTTTCTTAATTTCATTCTCTGATGATAGCTTGTTATTATATAAAAACTTGACCAATTTCTGTGTGTCAATTTTGTATCCTGTGGTTTTACCAAATTCATTTTTTCATTCTAATAGATTTTTGTTGTTGTTTTGGTTGAACATGCTGAGTTTTAATGGTATAGTAGGGAAGAAATAGAAATTGATGGAGTTGAGGAACCAGAGTGTGTTTTAAGAAAACTCTTTCGGGATGCCTGGGTAGCTCAGTCGGTTAAGCGTCCAACTTCGACTCAGGTCATGATCTGTGGTTTGTGGGTTCGAGCCCCGTGTCGGACTCTGTGCTGGCAGCTCAGAGCCTGGAGCCTGCTTCAGATTCTTGTCTCCCTCTCCGCTGCGCCTCCCCCTCCCCCATTCATTCTGTCTCTCTCTCTCTCAAAAATAAATAAACATTAAAAAAGTTTTTTTAAAAAATCCTTTCATGAAGTTTAAAGTGAAAGAAAGGTTGTAGCCAGAGGAAAATGATGGAAGAAAAATAGCAAGTTAAGCCTCAAAGTCTGTTGAAGCTAATACTAAAACGGTTTTGTTTTCCCAAAGTGCATACTGGCTGTACATTTGGAAGAGGCAGAATAGAAGTGCAAAACACTTGGGAAAAGTCAGGCTAAGATTCTGAATAGTGTTTAGTAAGGATTTACTGTAATTTCATCTCACTGAAGGGAAATGAAAATATTATTTTAAAAGAAATAGAAGTTGGTTTAACTGTTAATTAGGAAGATATTTTTTTTTCTCATTCTCTGCATGACAACTTTACATTGGTATATAAGATAGTAAGGAATACCTCTTCGTATCATTTTTCTTGTTCAGAAAGTTTTTGTTAGTGTCCACTATAAACGTATTACTCATCTTATCAGTATCAGAATTGAACGTTAGTCACCACTACCCCATAAATAGGAACACATTTATGTGACACAGAATAATGGAGACCTTTAGATGAGAAAAAGTGATGTTTTAGTTTCCTGGGTTAATAACATTATTAAAGTTGCATTATCCGTGTCTCACCCCCATGACATATATACTAATACCTAAAGTTATTTATGAAATTTTTTCTCCCCACTTTTTTTTTTTTTTAATAAGTTGGCTATTCACTTTCCATCAGAAGATATTCTCCTGGTAACAGCTTCTCCTGTTATTAAAGCAGTTACAAATTTCAAGCAGGTAAGAACCCTTTATATAACTTTCTTGGTCATATAGATTCTTTTAATTTCAGTAATTTGCCTAGCACATAGAGTGATTATAGCTTTTAAATGTTTAAAATGACAAATGTTCTTTTGGTGTTCATTTTATTTTTTTAATGTTTATTTATTTTTGAGAGAAAGAGAGTGTGTGAACCAAGAGAGGGTCGGAGAGAGGAGAAGATACAGAATTCAAAGCAGGCTCCAGGCTCTGAGCACAGAGGTCGGAGAGAGGAGGAGATACAGAATTCAAAGCAGACTCACAGAGCCCGACACAGGGCTCGAACCCATGAACCATAAGATCATGACCTGAGCCGAAGTCAGATGCTTAACTGACTCAGCCACCCAGGCGCCCCTAAATATTTTAAATACGTTAGCTTATGTAATCCTTAAGTAATCCTGTGAAGTAGGTTCTTATATTATCCCCACTTACAGATGAGGTAAATGAGTCAGTGAGGCTGGGTAAATTTCTGAAGTGTGTGTAGATAGCTTTTGAATTCAGATTGGCTCTGTAACCCTCATGGTTAATGAATAGCGCTTTCTCAGAATGGTAACTTTCTATTGGGGCAAGAGATCTGCAAGGCATAGTTATTATAATGTGGTAGCTATCCTGATAGTGGCAAAAAAAAAAAATTGTAGTTGTATTGCAATATGTGCATGTTTATTTTTATAAATATATTATGAATGAGTGCCAGAGCCTGCCTTTGAGGATCAAGAAAGGCTTTACATAGGAGGATGGATGGAAACTGAGACTGAAAGAGTAAGTAGGTTTTGCCATGTTTGTAAGAGGTTGAATGGAGGCAGGCTTGTGCCACGATGATGAAAGTATGTGACTATATAATATGCTATAACAGGTATCAATTCAGTTCTGCTAGAGTGTAAATTCAGTGCTAAACCAGAAGTCAGGGGCCAGACCATGGTGGGCTTGTGTGCAGTGATGTTGAAGTGACATTTAAAGGAGGATCAGAGAGAAAGGAAGCCCTGAAAATGGGCACCCTATTAGTCTTAGATCAGAGATGAAAACTAGGAGAGGAGAAGAGTTTGTTTTCCTGAAGCCAGAGATGACAGAAGTTTAATTAAGATGAGTGGTCAGTGGTGTCAGGTCCAAGGACAGCAGGTAACCAATTGAGTCACCCAGGTGCCCTGAGTTTTATTCTTTTAAGGTGGAAAACACTTTAGCATGTTTACCTATTGAGATTTAGAAACCAGTAGGAAAGGGTGAAGATGAAGGAAAACAAGGAGTACATAATAAGGAAGGAGTCCTGAGGAGGTGAGAGGTGATGGGATATAGAGCACAGATTACTGTATTCACCCTGAAAAGGTAGAAATGGGTCAAGGAAGGTGGACTGGAGCACAGCAGTGTATAGAGAGACAATAGGAAAGAAGTCATAAGAGTTCTTAGTAGTCTTTTTGAGCCAAGAAGTAAGGTGATTTGCTGGGAATGCTAAGGTTGGGATGTGTTTGGGAAGCATTAAAATGGTGAACGTTTTGGGGCACCTAGGTGGCTCAGGCGGTTAAGCATCTGACTTCGGCTCAGGTCATGATCTCATGGTTCGTGGGTTCGAGCCCCGCGTTGGGCTCTGTGCTGACAGCTAGCTCAGAGCCTGGAGACTGCTTCATATTCTGTATCTCCCTCTCTCTCTGACCCTCCCCTGCTGCTCATGCTGCCTCTCTCTCTCTCTCTCTCTAAGAAATAAGTAAAACATTCCTTAAAAACTTAAAAAAAAAAAAAAAAAAGAATGGTGAACGTTTAGAAAAAACAATGAAGGGTAGCCTGGGTGGCTCTGTGAGTTAAAAGTCCAGCTTTGGCTAGGTTATGATCTCCCAGTCTGTGAGTTCAAGACCTGCATTAGATTCTTTTCTGACAGCTCAGAGCATGGAACCTGCTTTGGATTCTGTGTCTTACTCTGTCTCTCTCTATCTCTCAAAAATGAATAAACGTTAAAAAAAAAAAAATCACCCAGGGATGGAAGATGTTACTTAGATAATAGGCTTGTCACTACATTGACATGTAAACGCTGATGGTATGAAACGCTTGGTGGCTAAACTGAACTAGTGGTTATTCTTCACTGCTAGGCACTCAGTTAATTAAATTAAAGCCAGTAAAAAAATGTTAATTTTATTTCCTGACTGTTTTGTGCGTGTCTTTTTAATGTTCTGTATGATGAAATGGGATGTATGCATAAAGCACTTGTTATGCCTTCAGGACTAGGAAGGAAAAGCAGTTGTGCAGTTGCTGAGTTGCAAGAGGTACTAATTAATTACCCTTTTTGTGGAATACCAATTTTAATTGAAAGAACAACTGGCAAGCTAAAGTAATTCATAATTGGAAAATGAGTGAAAGCAAGTGACAATATTTGTTGCCAATTTAACAAAATTAGAGCTTCCAGGCCAAAATCAGAATTTTGGAAAAATCATACTCTTCACTGCGAGCCTCATAGTACTTAAAGGCTTCTCTGATGAGATTGTTGGTGATAATAATGAATGTGGTGTTTTGATATTGTAATGAGTTGAAATGTATTAACATCTGGAAGATCTCCATAACTTAGCGAACCACTGTTGTCAGATGACAAATGAGATGTTACAAGATCCATTCAAAGTGTAGGATAGACCAGTGGATTTCACAGTAGTAGAGTATGAAAAATTCTTTGATATTGTTTCAAATTCTACACTGCAGCTAATCGTTAAGAAACCACACTTGTTGAGTTTTAGTGTAACATCAAAGAAGAATATACAGTTCTCTGGAAAGGCTGCACATCTCTGTCTTCATATGTTTTAACCAGATAACATATTGTAATAGTTTGAATGCAGGTGCAGAATGTAGAAGCAGTTTGAAAGCAAAAGAAATTAAGGCCAGACATTAAAGTGGTTTGTAAAAATGTAAAAGGAGTTTTTGTGTGCCATTCTTCTCACTTGTTTTGGGGAAAAATATTATTCTTATTAAAAGGATATTATATCTGTTTAATATGTATTGGATTTATTATTCTTACTTTTAAGTGAATTAAGAAATGTTTTAAATTTTTCTTAGTTTTCATTTCTAATATAGCAAATATCACAGAGTTTAACTCACACAGACAAAAGTTCTTTGTAGTCCCCACTTCATTGTAAGAGTATAAAGGGGTCTTGAGACTGAAAGGTTTGAGAACAGCTAGGGGCCATGTAGTAGGTCTTCCAAGCAGTAAGTAAGGGACAGCTGAGGTCAAATACTAGTCTTCAGGGTATGGTCCTTCCACCACAGACTGAGTATAGGACTGGAGAAGGCAGGTCGTTCAATCTGTGGTTGTGAGTTTTCAGGGTAATGAATGGTTAAAGACAGGACAGCAAGAAAGTAAAAGAGGGCGAAACATGAAATGATCTACAACAGAGTCTTGGCTGAATGGGAAGAAAAGTGAGTCCAAAACCATGGATGCTGATGGTTTTGAACAATAGGAACGAGTCCAAAGACTAGATCACAATAAAGATAGCTAGTAAGTGGACAGAAAACTAGAAGGATATAGAAATAGACAAGCTGTGTAATTAAAACATGCAGAAGTAAGTAGAGTTAGCCCTCATTTTCCAGGCTAGGAAACTAAGGTGCAGTGACTTGGCTGACTTGCCCGAGTGGTAGGAATGTTATTTGAGTTCAAGCCTTAAAATGCGAGTTAGTCCTTTTTTCACTGAATATAGTGCAGTTGGCTGACTTTCTTGTTTTGTGAACATAAAGTAGTGTATGAAAATAAATGAAAATATTTTCATTATTTAAAATTCTTAAAAGGAAATATTTTTTTGAAAATGTACATTTTTACCTTTTCGATCTCATATAGGTATCTAAAGTATTGGAGGAATTTGATGTTGAAGAGCAACCGAACACCATGTTAGAAAATCGCTTTCCCAACATTAAGGTCATAGAATCTGGAGTAAAGCAACTGAAGAGTAAAGAACACGTAAGAAGATTTTTTTTTTTAATGTTTGTTTGTTTTGAGAGAGAGAAAGAGAGCACAAGTAGGGGAGGGGCAAAGAGAGAGGGGGAAATAGAATCCAAAGCATGCTCCAGGCTCTGAGCTGTCAGCACATATCCCGAGTTAGGGCTCAAATCCATGAACTGCAAGATCATGACCTGAGCTAAAGTCGGATGCCCAACAGACCGAGTCACCCAGGCACCTCTAGAAGATATTTTTCTTTCTTTCTTTTCTTTTCTTTTCTTTTCTTTTCTTTTCTTTTCTTTTCTTTTCTTTTCTTTTCTTTTCTTTTCTTTCTTCCCTCTCTTCCCTCTCTTCCCTCCCTTCCCTCCCTTCCCTCCCTCCCTTCCCCCCTTCCCTCCCTTCCCTCCCTTCCCTCCCTTCCCTCCCTTCCCTTCCCTTCCTTTCCTTCCTTTCTTTCTTTCTTCTTTCTTATGTTTTATGTATTTCTGAAAGAGACAGGGTGAGCAGGGGAGGATCAGAGAGAGAGGGAGACACAGAATTGGAAATTGGCTCCAAGCTCTGAGCTGTCAGCACAGAGCACGAAGCGGGGCTCAAACCCACGAACCGTGAGATCATGACCTGAGCCGAAATCGGACACTTAACTGACTGAGCCACCCAGGTGCCCCAGAAGATATTTTTCTTAATGATGGTCCATAGTTATATCGGTTTTTTTTAAATGTTTATTTATTTATTTGAGAGAGAGTGCAAGCAGGGAAGGAGCAGACAGAGGGAGACACAAAGTCCGAAGCAGGCTCCAGGCTCTGAGCTGTCAGCACTGAGCCCAATACAGGGCTCGAACCCACAGACTGTGAGATCATGACCTGAGCTGAAGTTGGGCACTCAACCACTGAGCCACCCAGGCGCCCCTCCCTCTTTTTTTTTGTTTTGTTTTAAATGGTCCATCATTAAATCTTTTTTTTTTTTTTTTTTTTTTCAAATAGTTTATTGTCAAATTAGTTTCTACATAACACTCAGTGCTCATCCCCAAAGTGCCCTCCTTCATGCCCATCCCCCCCTCCCCCCCACATCCATCAGTCCTCAGTTTTTGTCAGCATTCAAGAGTCTCTCATGGTTTGCCTCTCTCCCTTTCCCCCACCATTTCCGCCCTTCTTCTCCCCCTTGGTCCTCCGTCAAGTTCCTCCTAATCCTCCTATACGTGCAAACATATGATATTTGTCCTTCTCTGCCTGACTTACTTCGCTCAGCAATGAGAAACAATGAAATCTGGCCATGTGTAGCAACATGGATGGACCTTGAGGGTGTTATGCTGGTCCATCATTAAATCTTGATGAGCTTTTGCCTGCTTTCTTTTGACCCTATCTGTACCCTCACTGCTACTAAGGTCCCTAGCATATAAAGTTTAGTAACACTGATTTCTTTTTATTTGGAAAATTATGCTTTTTGTGAATTTATTGAGATTATATAATTAGTTGCTTTAGCATTTTAGATTTTACATTACAGATTAGCATTAACGTTTACATAGTGTCTGCTATGTTCTGGACGCTGCAGAAGTGCTGGGATACAACAGGAACATTACAATGAATCTGGCCTGGGAGGTCGCATTTTCATAGGGAATAGGACAGGCACATGTATAATTAAGTGGATATGTGAAAAGCACAGTCACTGAAATACTATCAAAGCTCTGATATTAGGGATTTGGGAGGACTTCACAGAACCGTTTTGAAAAGGTGAATGAATTAAGAATTCTTAATTAAGGACATTGTAGGAAAAGGAGGTTGCTTATTCAAAGACCCAAAGAAAAGGGGCACTTGGAAAAGTAATGTCGGAGGTACTGTGGTGGACATAAGGAGAGGAGATTGGCAGAGGAGGGCAAGCAAATAGACTCTGAAGAACTATTTACATCATGCCAAGAAACTTATTTTATAATCAGTGGAGAACTAAAGAGTATTTACATGGAGGCAAGGATAGTAATACAGATATTCTTTTAGGAAGATCGACCTGATAGCAGTGTTGAGGATGAAGTGGGGTGGAGTGAGTGAGAGTGACCAGCAACCCAATCAGAAAGTGGTTGCAATAGTCCAAAATGATAGAAGGCCCGAACTAAGACCAGGACAGTGTAGTTGGAAAGAATGGCCCAGTTATGAGTGGGATTTCTACTGTAAACTCAGCAGCACTCAGTAACCCATTGGATGTGGGGATGAAGGAGGCAGTCAGAGGAAAGGTGTTGTCAGATGATCAACAGTGTCCTCAGGTGAGCTTTAGGCAAGATGAGTAGAGTTTGTAGTTTCTCTATAGTAGCTCTAATTTTTCTCCCTTACAGAGAAAATACATACATAATACATTTGAAACACAAATAATTTGACAGGAAAAAATAAATAGAAAAAGGACTGAATTTTTTGAGGGAAAAAAAAATAAGTCTGAATCCCAAAACCAGAATAAATTTCTAACATTTACAGTAGTACATATCCCATATAACATCCACGCCAGTTAATTTGTAAGTTGACAAATGTATACTAATAAATTGTGAGGGAATTTATATTAGGGCATTTGAATAAATCAAAGTGCTACTTATTACTATTTGAAATGTCCTGCATGAGCTCATGCCTGTATTCTCTTATTTGTCCTTTATATTCTTTGATGAATTAGAGATTATGTGTTTTATCTTCATGTCTACTTCCAAAAATTTAACAGGAGCCAACGAAAGGAGTTTTTGTGTTTGTTTTTACAACATAAAATGCGAATTATTTTTTAATTTGGTCATTGTCTGTAATTACTGTTTGTCAGATAAAATTCTCACCACATTATCTGCAGAAAGACTTGTATAGAATTTCTGTATGTGTTATACTGTTTTGAATTATCAGCTCTATATATTTGTTATGCAGCTGAAGAGTTATAGTAGGTAACATATCGCTCAGTGGGTATCAAGTGCTATCTTATGATTTGCCATGTTTGAAAGTCAAACATAACACAGTGTTCATCTCTAGATCACTGCAACAAAGTCTGGTAGCTCTCATAGTCACATGTACACACATACAAATACATATATATGTGTATATATATGTATATGTAGGTATATATATATGTGCTTATTAAAGGCTCCTACTTATACAGAGATTTTTATTTGATATTAAAGAATAAAACAGGGGCGCCTGGGTGGCTTAGTCGGTTAAGCGTCCGACTTTTGCTTGGGTCATGATCTCGCGGTTCGTGGGTTCGAGCCCCACGTCGGGCTCTGTGCTGACTGACAGCTCAGAGCCTGGAGCCTATTTCAGAGTCTGTGTCTCCCTCTCTCTCTGACCCTCCCCTGCTCACGCTGTCTCTCTCTCTCTCTCCTAGAAATAAATTAAAAAAAAAATAAATAAAACAATGGATCACAAATATATATTTTTAGACTCAATTTTAAAAATTAATATAAATGACTAAAACCTAGTACATGCTAGGATTTAAGGTTAATATGTTAATATCCCAAAGAACATTTGTGTGTGGTTAAATGATTGTTATTTGTACTTCAGAAGAATGCATGCATGTGCTAACAGGGGAGGGGAGCAGAGGGAGGTGGAGGAAGAGGTAGGGGAGAGAGAGAGAGAGAGATTCTTAGAATCCGCGCTCAGCACAGAACCTGACACAGTGCTTGGTCCAATGACGCAGGGATCATGACCTGAGCCAAAATCAAGAGTCAGGGGCTTAACTGACTAAGCCACCCAGGCTTCCCAAACACTTCTGCTGTTTTTAGATTAAGAAGACATATTGTGACCTTTTCTAACACACTCTGCTCCCTTGCACCCATAACAGATATTAAGGTCTGACACCATTAGAAATACTAGATCTTCATAAAGTAACTTCCATTGAGATCAGAAATATTCATTATGGCCTGCCTCAGGTATAATATCAGAATGCTTGATTTAAAAATTTCTGAGTGTTTAGTTTTTAACCTGAGGTCATCATACCTCCCTGAATATAACGAGATTCCTTAAGTTTTATGCAAAATCTGATGTGAATGTATCTTATTTCCAGGGAAGAAAGACTGGTTCTCACTAGATTCCCAAAATGGTTCATGGCCCTAAAATGATGGCGAATCACTGGGTGGGAGAATGCATTCTCATGTTTACTGATTTGCAATTGCTGTTAACAGAGTATTGAACGCCACCATGAGGCAAACTTAATGTATTTTTTGCTTTTGTCTTACTGAGTTTTTTATTTAAAATGAAACTGTACCCACGTATAAATATGTTTCTCTTCTCCCCTTCATTGCCCTGTTTTTACAGTGCATTTTAACAGGGGATGGCAGTCAGCATGTGTATAAGAAACTCTGTCTGTGTGCTGGAGCTAAACCAAAGTTGATATGTGAAGGAAATCCTTATGTATTAGGAATCCGTGATACAGACAGTGCTCAGGTAACAGTTTGAGATGGGGTCATGGGAAAGGAACATGAATATTTCATAGACTTCCTTTATTTGAATCAAAGTTAATTCTTAAATCATAGAAGAGGTTTGTTTTACAATCCGTAAACCAGAAAGTAGTTACAATGTTACTGCCAATTTCAGTTTGGTTGTAGCTGATAATTTTTCCTATTTCTTAGTTCATGCTGATGTTCTGTGTTCTTTCCATTGTGCACTATCCCAGATAGAATGACGGAGCTGAAGGTTATAACTTACATTATACACACATCCAGTACTGTATTTTGATCAGGAGTATATGATTTGTAGCCTAAATAATGTAGCAGTCTTTTCCCACAAAGGTAAAGCATATCCCAAACTTACTGAACTTACTCCTTAGCAAAGAAGTTTATTCAGAAGACCTTTGTGGTACAGAATCATGACAGAATCCCAGAACAGAAATTTGTTTGGTTTGTTGTTCTGCTCAAGAACCATAGTAAACTATCCCAGTAAGGTGAAACTGTGGGGAACCTCCTACAACTTCTGATAATTTACTGCAGGGCTTCAGGGTTTATTGACCCTTCTTGCCAAGAAGCTCTTCCTGGTTTCCAGTCATAATACTTTGTCTTACCTCTAGCATATTGTTGTGGTCTGTCCCTAAGGTGATAATTTTATATTTATTAATAATATTTTATATTATTGAAATTGATGTTTTCGTTCAGCCTGTTATTAATATAAAACTTTTTTTAAAGCTTATTTATTTGCGAAAGAGAGAGAGAGAGAGAGCAGGTGAGGGGCAGAGAGGAGAGAAATTCCCAAGCAGGGTCCACTCTGTCAGTGCAGAGCCCAGCATGGGTCTTGATCCTACAAACCATGGGCATAGCTCTGTTCCAGCTGGGCTGCCTACATACATGAACTCACTGACTGCTTGTGATAATCCTGTGTGGTAGTATTACTCCCACTGTACACATAGGAAACTCTGATGAAGAGATTAATTATTAACCTATACTAAAATAGCTATTAAGTTATCAGAAGTACAATTTAAATCAAGCCATTCATCTCCACGTCCAGTGCTTTTAACAGATCTTTCTTATTTACTGTCCTCATAGAAAGACTGACTAAAATAATTTACAGGTTTTTTCCTGGTATAATTTTAAAAACAAGTCAATTTTGCTGGTTATTTATTGAATATTACAGAAATTTTTTGGATGAACTTAATAGGGTAACTTGACATGGTAGGAAGAGGAAATTTAGCTATTCAGATGTCATCCTGAACCGGTGGGACTATTCTGTACTTTCAAAAGTGCCATAAAAATGACCATGGCTTCCCTGAGCTGATTGTGATATTTTCTTTAGGGGGCAGAAGAAGAGAGGGGAAGAGGCATCAATTAATTGTCTTATGATAAGAAAGTAGCATTTTTTTATGATAGACGTTATTGTGCCTGCTCTGAACAGCTTTATTTTCATCATCTTAATGCTTACAGAGACCTAATGAAATATATCCACTTGTTTCCATTTATATTGAAGAACCTGAGGCACAGAGGGTTAAGCAACTTGACCAAGTTACTAACTAGGGGCAATTAGTAACGCCAGGGACTCTTAACCACCAAGCTCTTATGCTTCTCACTCCTGTAAGTTTTAAGTGTTGTATGACTCCAGGGAGGTGTCAACTGACAGATTAGAAGAAAAGGAATAACCTGTATGTAGGATACAGATCAGTGTCATGTTAGTAAATGATTTGATCAAGTAGTTAGGAATGTGATGAACTAGAGATAGTGCCTCTTGCTAAAATTCTAAAGTACTCTAAATGTAATGACATAAAAAGTAAGGAAAATCAGAAGAGGCATTGCTATAAAGGAAGCTTGTGTAACATATACAGGAAAGCATTTGTAATATTGGAAGGTGTGCCCTGGCAGAGTGGGAAAGTGAAATTTTTGTTCCTTTGTAAATAAGGTAAAATTCTTAACATTTTTTAATTAGTGAAGCCTTTCTTCAAGTATTGCCCACTATTATAAAACACTGTCTCATATTCTTTTTAATATAGGAATTCCAGAAACAGCTTACTAAAGCTAAAAGAATAATGATCATAGGGAATGGTGGCATTGCACTTGAACTAGTGTAAGTATATATTTTTAAATATTATTTAAACACTGCTCTATGACTCATTGGCACATTAGAAAACATATTATTCTGAAATTCAAAGATAAATAGAATTGTTTTCCATAGATTTTCAAGGAGAAAAGAATCAACTTTATATTTTTAGCTTCATGGAATTCATAGTTATAGAAATGTCATAAAACATGATTTTAGGGAAGGTTTTAGGTCTCAAGAGGTCACACAGTTGACTGGACAGATGTAACCCATATATGTGTTTGGTAAGCATGTACTATATTGAAAAACAATTTAAATGTGCATACCTTTGGAGATTTCTAGTCACAGTCTCTACCCTTTTTTTGTTTCCACTCATCCTGCTTCACTCATTTATATTGCTACCATCGGGCCCATGAAACCCAAATGTTTAACTCCCTATTTCAAGATATATGGTACTCCCAGCTCTTGTTTTTTTGGAAGTTGGAAAATGTGAACCCATCATTTAATATGAAATACTATCTTAAGATGATATTTCAGGTTTAAAGAACATTGAGGAGTAAATATCCTGCTATTATGGTCTACAGAGCATTCATTTTCTTTATGATTTTACCTTCTACTGGATGGATGAGATGAAATAGTCTGGACAGTTTTAGGGCAGAAAGTGGAGTCCAACTACAAAGAGTACAGATTTGAATCAGAATAATGAATTTGCCCAAGTTCTGTCCATTCTAACTCTCAGACTAGGTTTTAGCTCCTCTTTTTGACAATGGTGAATCCCAGTGGAAGATTCTAAGAGTTCCTGGATTGCCTGAGTACCAGAGATGGCAGCCATTCTTCTAATTATGAAGTCTAGCATTGTGTGGAGAAAAGTGAAAAAAACTAGAGAGTCAAAAATCAAACAGGTCCAGGAAGGATGCACATGACAGATTTTCTCCATTGGCTATCATGAAACATGTAACTTAATACTATTATTATTTACGTAGGAAAATTTTCTTAAATTCAGAAATGCTCAGTCTTAAAATATTTAATCCTATCCCTCGTTTTCTTGAGGTTGGAGATAGAAGACTATATAATTGGACAAAACTTATAATTTTATATTGAATAAACTGATAGTTTAAGCTGCATATCATGTAATTGTCTCAGTTTAGGTCGACAGAGTGATCAGGTGTTTGTCATCTCATGATGAAAAGTGACCTATACAAACCCTTTCTTCTCTTTAATATCCCTCATGTTCCCTTGAGGCTGCTACTGATTTTCTTAAGTGTACTTTTATATCAGTTACTACCTATGTTTTCTTCTCTACAAGTGTAGATTAATCCTTTCTTTTTCAGACATTATTTTAATAATCAAAAAACCATAATACCTCACTGTATTTTTTAATAGTTTTAAAAATCAAAGTATTTCTGGTATGTATGATGGTACTACCTTCATGTTTAAGCATCTTGCTGAGGGCATGGTTCATAAGCTAAGGGCATCCTGTGAGGTAAAGCATATATATATGTATATATGTTACTCACAGTTACTTACATTTGTGGCCTACTAGTCAAGCATCAGTACTTTAAGCTATACTGATAATGTGTTATACTCTTTATTACTTTAAAATTTTCAAAGAAAATGGTAGAGGAATTTCTTAATAAAATCTAATAAGAAAATTGTTTCATAATAATTATATCCCTATATGTAAATTAGAATATGAAATTTATTACTGAATGTGTATTCTACTGTCTGCTCATCAGCAGTCCTATATGATCTGAGCAACATAGTGTATTCACTAAATAATTTGAAATTTAGTAACTAAGTATTTTTTCAGCCATAAGGGAGCAATTACCACAAAGCATGTACATCAGGTGACCTGAAGTCAGATGTACTAAACTTTTTTTTCTATCATTTACTTATTGATTAGCATTGAAAAGTTAATGTGTTACATTATATAGAGCAGTCTGTGAAATAAACATGACAATACTTTGTACCATAAGTAAATGTTAAAAGTTCTTAACACACAATCCTAGTATAGTTAGAGCAACCATATATCCTGTTTATCTAGGATTGTCTCAGCTCATCAGTGTTACCAAAACAAGTAATAATAGCAGAAAAATATAATGGACTTCAGGGACTTGGTGAAATGAATACTAAGCAAACCACATTCTCTGTGACTAAACCTGGAGATAAAACAGCAGATCCCCAGAAGCTCCGGCTGTCTCATTAGTGGTGATGGTCTGTATACACCATGGCCATTCCTTCCTTTCTTGATTTTTCTGTGAACTGGATCTTTCTTTAGCTGAATTCTTGGAAATTATTGAGGTGAAGGGAATTACTAACTGCAGGGTAATAATTCCTTTATATAACAAAGTTAAGATTTTAGTTAATCACTCTGATTCTCTCTTTTTTTTCTTCTTCCATAATGTTGTGCTTTGAGTACACAAAATATTTGTTACCAAAGAGTAAGCTGTTGTCAGTATTGTAACTATATACCATGGGTCCATTCACCCATTATTGATTACACTATAACTGTATCAACAAAGCACTGCTCACTCCTGGGAACCCTGGGAAACATTCATACAGTAACTATGTTGGAGAAATTGAATACTTAGAAGTGATGCTCATTGTAATGAAATTTTACCTGATACTTACACATGCTTGTCATTTTCATGTTCTTTAAAATAAACTGGTTAAATTTCTTTTATTATTCTACTTTAGCTCTTATTATCCTAAATTTAATATTACATTTCTCCTTAAAATCATTTCTGTTTGCCTTAAAACACTTTCTTTACTTTTGCCTTGAGATAACTGTTATTTACCAAAAAAAAAAAAAGAAAAGATTCCTACTCATACTTTTTAAATTGCTCTAAGTAACTTTAATATTCCTTTTAGGTATGAAATTGAAGGCTATGAAGTTATTTGGGCCATTAAAGATAAAGCTATTGGGAATACTTTCTTCGATGCAGGTGCAGCTGAATTCTTGACTTCAAAGCTCATTGCTGAAAAACCAGAGGCTAAAATTGCACATAAAAGAACCAGATATACAACTGAAGGTAATTGTTGCATCTAGTTTATTAATTCAGATGATAGCAGCACTCTCAACAATAGCTAAATCATGGAAAGAACTTAAGGGTACATCAGCTGATGAATGGATCAAGAAGATGTGGTTTATCTATACAATGGAATACTACATGGCAATGAGAAAGAATGAAATCTGGCCATTTGTAGCAATATGGATGGAACTTGAGGGTGTTATGCTGAGTGAAATAAGTCAGGCAGAGAAGGACAGATACCAGATGTTTACACGTATAGGTGGATTAGGAGGAACTTAAAAAATCGTGGGGGAGAAGAAGGGAAAAATAGTTGCAGGGAGGGAAGGAGGCAAACCATGAGAGACTCTTGAATGCTGAGAACAAACTGAGGGCTGATGGGGTGTGGGGGAGAGGGGAAGGGGGTGATGGGCATGGAGGAGGGCACTTGTTGGGATGAGCACTGGGTGTTATATGGAAACCAACTTGACAGTAAACTATTTAGAAAAAAAAATTTTTTTTAGCCATATAGAAAAAGGCTATCAGAGCACGAAGTAAAGTACTACAATTGAGAGACAGACAGGGGCGCCTGGGTGGCTCAGTCAGCTAAGCGTCCCACTTCAGCTCAGATCATGATCTCACAGTTAGTGGATTTGAACCCCGCGTCAGGCTCTGTGCTCACAGCTCAGAGCCTGGGGCCTGTTTCAGATTCTGTCGTCTCGCTCTCTCACTCTCCCCCTCCCCAACTCGTGCTCTGTCTCTGTGTCAAAAATATATTTAACTATAAAAAAAATTTTTTTTAAAGAGACAGATATATGGTTAATACTTAACTTCTGTATCTCACAGGATTTAGACTTTCCAGGATTTTTTTTTTCAAAGTTTATTTTGAGAGGGAGAGAGCAAGAATGGGGCAAGGGCAGAGAGCAATAGGGAGGGAGGGAGGGGTGGAGAGAGAGAAGGGAATCCCAAGCAGGTTCTGGCTGTGATCTTGGAGTCCAGTGCAGGGCTCTATCCCACGAACCCTGAGATTATGACCTGAGGCGAAACCAAAAATTGGATGCTTAACCAACTGAGCCATCCAGGAGCCCCTTTCCAGGATATTTTAAAATGAAAACTATGTAGGGGCGCCTGGGTAGCTCAGTGGGTTAAGTGTCTGACTTCGTCTCAGGTCGTGATCTCACAGTTCATGGGTTCGAGCCCCATGTGGGGCTCTGTGCTGAGAGCCAGCTCAGAGCCTGGAGCCTACTTCCAATTCTGTATCTCCCTCTCTCTCTGACCTCCCCTGTTCATGCTGTGTGTGTCTCTCTCTTTCAAAAGTAAATAAAACATTTTTAAAAATTTTTTAAAATAATAAAATGAAAACTATGTATAACTAAAACTGGAAACTTAAAGTGAATTAAATGAACCAGCTCATCTGCTTCTTTGCAAACAGGTGGTACAACTGGACAGAACCTAAGGTAATTTTACAAAAAAATGCAATGAGTAAAAAAGAAATACAAACCTAGATTTTTTTTAAGAGCTTTTTTTTTTAATTTTTAACTTTTGGCTTATAAAATTCAAAAAATTTTGTACGTTTCGAGGGTGACAAAAACTGACAAAATGTTTAAAACCTGGCTAATTTTTTAATTGAATTATAACTCATGTTTCAGGTGTACAGTAGTCAGTATTTTTATACATTATCAGTAACCACCTCAGTAGGTTTAGTTACTACCTGTCACTGTACTGAGTTATTACAATATTGACCATATTTCTTGTGGTGTACTTTATTTCCCCATGACTTATAACTGGAAGTTCGTACTTCTTAATCCCATTCACCTGTTTATCTTTTACACCAGTTCCCTCCCCTGTGGCAACCACCAGTTTATTCTCTATCTCTGAGTCTGCTTCTGCTGTGTTTTGGGGCTTTTTGTTTGTTTAATTATTTTTCTAGTTTAACTTGCCTGCATTTTCTGTAAAATTTTTACTGAAGTATAATTAACATATGTTATATTACTTTCAGGTATACAGTAAAATGATTCAACAATTCTGTACATTACTCTGCTCATTATGATAAGTGCACTCTTAATCCGTTATTCCACACATCTCCTCAGCCACCTCCCCTCTGGCAGCCATTAGTTCTCAGTTTTTGAGTGGGTTTTTTGGAGTCTCTTTTTTCTTGTTTCTTAAGTTCTACCTATGAGTGAAATCATATGGTACTTGTTTTTCTCTGAGTTATTTCACGTAGCGTAATATCCTCTAGGTCCATCCATGTTGCAGATGGCAAGATCTCATTCTTTTTCTCATGGTGGAGTAATACTACATTGTGTGTGTGTGTGTGTGTATGCATACACACACATCCATACCACATCTTCTCTATCCATAAGTCTATCAGTGGACGCTTGAGTTGCTTCCTTATCTTGCTTGTAATAATGCAAGCTCACATAGGGATACATACGTCTTTTTGACTTAGTGTTTTCATTTTCTTTGAGTAAATTCCCAGTAGTGGAGTTACCAGATCATATGGTAATTCTAATAATTTTTTCAGGAACCTCCGTACTGTTTTTCATAGTGGTTGTACTAATTTGGATTCCCACCAACAGTGCATGAGGGATCTTGTTTCTCTACATCCTTGCCAACACTTGTAATTTCTTGTCTTTTTGAGTCTAACCATTCTGGCAGGTGTAAGGTGGTATCTTATTTTACTTTTGATTTGTACTTCTCTGATGATTAGTGATTTTGAACACTTTTTCATGTCCTAGTTAGCCGTCTGTATGTCTCTGGAAAAATGTTCAGGTCCTCGGCCTGTGTTTTATTTTGTTTGTATTTCTGTTACCAAGTCATAGGTGTTCTTTATATAATTTCTATTATCAACCCTTTATCAGAACTACCCTTCTTATTAACCATGTATATAACATGGTTTATATTGAACACTTGATTGAAAGATTATCTGTTTTATAGCTCTATATCACGAAATATTAAAATGATCAATACAGGTAAGTTGGTTTATCCTATATGAGCATCATAACATCGCCTAAAAGCTTGAGAACACAAGTATACTTCTGCCTAGCAGTTTTTATATCATTTGAATTTTGAATTGAGTTTTATCACCTTCAGGAAGAAAAAAGGAATTGCAAACCAAAGGTAGTGGTGGCAATATGGGCAGTGCCTTGGGACCTGATTGGCATGAAGGCTTGAATCTTAAAGGAACAAAAGAGGTATGTGTTCATATACTAATTAAACATGTCTAGATGCAATTTTAAATTCTTGAACCATTCGCTGAAGACTGATTACAAATAGTCCAACAGCTGCTTGGTCACTTTGCTGAAAATCCATAGTGTTGGGGCACCTGGGTGGCTTAGTCGGTTAAGCGTCTGACTTTCACTTAGGTCATGATCTCGCGGTTCGTGGGTTCGAGCCCCGCGTCGGGCTCTGTGCTGACTGCCAGCTCAGAGCCTGGAGCCTGTTTCAGTCTGTGACTCCCTCTCTCTCTGACCCTCTCCTGCTCATGCTGTCTCTCTCTCTCTCTCTCTCCTAGAAATAAATTTAAAAAAATCCATCGTGCTAGGATAGGACCAACAGCAGCTGGCCTGGTTCCTTACCTTAAAAGATAAGCGGTCATTTAATTCATCAAAAACTGACTCTTGCCATTTTTTTTTTAAATTTTTTTTTAAATGTTTTATTTATTTCTGAGAGAGAGAGCGTGAACAGGGGAGGGTCCAAGAGAGAGAGGGAGACACAGAATCTGAAACAGGCTCTGAGCTGGCTGTCAGTACAGAGCCTGATGCAGGGCTTGGACCTATGACCGTTAGATCATGACCTGAGCCGAAGTCGGACGCTTAACTGACTGAGCCACCCAGGCGCCCCAACCCTTCTTTTTAATTCTCCAGGCACAGAGATTTCTACAATGAATATACCTGTCCTATTTTAATCTTTTCTTAAAGGTCACCTCCTATGCATTATCATATTTAAAGGTTATTAGATAAATTTTAAATACATATTTAATACCTTAATTAGATAAGAAGATGATTTGCTTTTATTCATTTTATTAAGTATTTCTGCTTTTAAATAAGTCTGATATTTAAATACTGTTAGAAGCATACACAGTTTTTATTACTGTGTCTGATTTCTTTTCAGCCTCAGGTAGTTTGGAGGGGAGCTGGTTTCATGTTGTATCTCATTTTTGTGATTATGCAAAATCAGTTCTTCGTGTACCTTTGGATCCTAAGATTAGTAGTGTTTTTAAACTGAGAGCCTCAGCAGTTTGGTTCAGTGATGTTATCTCCTACATACTTGGTACTTATTAAGGTTCTGGGATAGAATAGTAAGTATGTCGACATAGACCTGCCCTCAAGAGGCTTTTGTAGTCTAGCAGTTGTCATTTTTAGAAAATGTATTTGTAATTACCAGTGAGGCTGTACTAAAAAGCATGCCCTTCGTGTTACCTGTCAATGCAGCTATTTGTTCTAAGTTCTGAATGGATTTCTTCTTACTGCCTTCACAAACAGAAGTTAACAAGATGTGCATCCAGTGTGTTTTCATTTGTATTACAAGAATTGTTTTTTCCATATATTTCTACAAGTGTATTGTAAAATTTTTTTTATCATCAGTAACCCAAGTCCATCTTTTTGGAAGTATTATGGTAACCACTATTTCTTTTAGTTTTCTCATAAGATTCACATTGAAACTACGTGTGAAGTAAAGAAAATCTACCTTCAGGAAGAATTTAGAATTTCTAAGAAAAAGTCCTTGCCTTTTCCGAGAGACCATCATAAGCAGTCAGTCACAACTGATGAAGGTAAGTAATTAAGAAAAAATGGAATAACCACTAATTTAAAAGGAGGGAAACTTGAACATAAAAAGTAAACATGAGTGGCACCTCAGTGGCTCAGTTGGTTCAGCGTGTGACTTTGGCTTAGGTCATGATCTCACAGTTTGTGAGTTTGAGCCTCACAGCGGGCTGGCTCTGTGCTGACACCTCAGAGCCTGGAGCCTGTCTTCAGATTCTCTGTCTCCCTGTCTCTCTTCCCCTCCCCCACTCACCTTCTGTGTCTCTCCTTCAAAAATTAACTTAAAGAAAAAAAAGTAAACCTGAAACCATTAATAATGTAAGTCATTTCCTTTTCACTACTTAATCTTCAAGTTCCCTAATAATTTGTGTAGAGAGCATATCTTAACACAGGGTTCATGGTGTTTTGACCACCACAACTCTGTGAGTCAGAGTATCTTGCAGATCAAAATAAATAGAAACTAAAAAAAAACTTTATGCTCTCAGAGATGAAGTGACTTTCCCCAAATCAAACAGATTGAAAATCTGTAAATTTGGGACTGAGAAACAGATCTAATTCCTATTCCACACCTCCTATCAGAACTACCACAATTTGAAGAAATAGAATCAGCTAAACTAGTCTATAATATTCCATTGTTTTGAATTCGTTGAATTTTTCCATGGAAAGAGTTAATGTTAGTTTGACTAAGAATAGTAAGGAATAACACTGAAAAATGAGTAATGTAGTTGGACTAAACTCTCTGGAGTATAATGTATTAATATTTTTAGAGAAAAATTATAAAGTGGTTATCAATTTAAATGTATTTTGTTAGAAAAGTTGTAGGTCTAAATTTGAAGGAAAAGTTTAGAATGTCATAATTCTGTAAGTATTCCCAAAACAAGGAGACAATGTTGATTGTATTCCAATTGTTTGAGCAAATGTGCCTTATAAAAATTATTAAGCTGTGTTGTTTTCAAGTACTCTCCTGCTGTTTTCTTTCACTCCTTATTCAAGGCATTATATTCACATAATGCTATGATAACCCGTGGTGATTACATTGAAGAGTAAAGATTTTATTTGTTTTGTTTTGTTTTAGAGGTATGGCCTGTATATGTGGAATTGACCAATGAAAAGATATACGGCTGCGATTTCGTTGTCAGTGCTACAGGAGTTACACCAAACATAGAACCTTTTCTCAGTGGTAACAATGTAAGGTGAAGTTTCTTTGTCCTGTTGTGAATATTTTCATATTTATGAGATTTAATTTTCAACATAACTGTTCATTGTTCTAGTGTAAAACTGTAACTTAAGGAAGCTGAAAACAATTTAGATCATATTCATGTTTGGATTTCAGTATTTCTTATTGCCTAAAGTCCTTAAGCAGCTTACATCCCAGCATAAGTGTCATCACTGATAGGACATAATGCGCATTTCAGTTGTACAAAGGTTGGTAAGAGACTGACACCTGTGGATTCTTACAAGTGATTCTTTTAGAGAAACTATTTTAAATTTTTTGCCTTTTAGCATTTGAAGCTCACAAAACAGGAATAGTGTAATTATGAGTGGGGTAGTCATATGGTTACTAAGTGTTCTTGATGTTGAAAGTCTAAGAACTTTTTAGTTGGTCTGTCTTAGTAGAATTTCGATTCCCTGGAAATTCAGCTGAGTTGTCTAAACTTTCAGCTATTTTTGCCTTCCCATTAAAAATCAGCATACCAAGGTGTAAAAATGTGACTTGTTCTTTTACTTTAGAATGACAATGGCATCTCATTTCTCTTCTCATGTATTCTCATAAGGAACATTGTTTAGTTTGATGTAGGAGAAGATGGTGGCCTGAAAGTGGATGATCACATGCACACGTCTGTCTCTGACATCTACGCGGCAGGTGATGTCTGCACTGCATCCTGGCAGCCCAGCCCAGTCTGGCAGCAGGTAAGCCGGCATCCGTGGTCACATCTTATCAGACAGTCCATCTGGTGGTAAAGGAGTGGCTACCAGCAAATCTAAATATCTGGTTTTCTAACTTCTTTAAGTAAGAAGCTATCATGGAGTTTTTTGTGACAGTTAAAGAATTTTTCCCTTTTGATAAGTTATTATATAGTGACGAAACAGATTGGGATATCTTGTAACTTAAAAAGAATTATGGGCTGTTACTTCGCTTTTATTTCCAGGAACTTATCAGCGCTGTCCAGTGGAACTTTATGCAAGGACAGAAATGTTCTGTTCCTTTGCAGTGTCCAGTCAGGTCGTCACTAACTACATATCTCTTGAGCACCTAAGTTTAAATAGCTACATGTATCTAGTGTCTGCCAGACTGGACAGCACAGCTCTAGATTAATAAATAATTACTGAGGTATAAACCATGTAGATAAATGATGACCCTATGGGGTCCTGATGACCCTCTTCTGTCCCTGTGGAATCATGACTGAAGAAATTCCCTGTAGTAAACAGCCTTCCTCAGCTGAACACCCCCATCCAGCTGGATATAGACTCCTCCTGCCCCCACAGTGTTGCTCCCTCCTAATGCTGGAGCAGATCCTTGAGGAAGATCCTCAGACCGTGGTCATAGGTGAGGTGGTCCCAGGGGGAGCAGAGACACAGCAGATGTTACCGATAAAAGAACCAGCTCCACAGGTAGGGATATTACTCCTTCAGGTCAACCACAGAGTGTGAAGTAGCAGAAGAGCTAGATGTATTTTAAGAGGCAGTTTCATTACTGTGTGTGTTTCTGCCTACAGCAGAGTCTTTTAAGCCTGGGGGTGCCTAGGTGGTTTAGTTGATTAAGCATCTGACTTCAAGTCATGATCTCGCGATTCGCGAGTTCAAGCCCTGCATTGGGCTCTGTGCTAACAGCTCAGACCCTGCTTTGTATTCTATGTCTCCTCTCTGCCCCCCTTCCGTGCTTTGTCTCTCTAAAAGTAAATATTACAGTTTTTTTTTTAAAAGAGTGCTAACAGCCTGTTTCTAAAATGCTAGCTTGTTTTCAGTTTTATCTGTGACATAGCTGTCATAAACTGAGTTTGTGGGATTTTTTTTTTTAACACTTTTAAACCCTCTAGCATAAATTTATCCTTAATGGGTATCATAAACTGGTATAGGCCATCCAAAAATAGGTATCTCTTGAGTGAATCTAACAGATCTTGTGTCTTAATTTTCAGAAGCAGTAAATAAGGACACTAATTAATGTGTTTTACATAGTCCAAGACACAAACTGAAGGGACCTTGAAGCTGATATACATTAAGTAATGGTCCAGCAGTATAATACTGCAGGCTACTTCTGTTAACCATTCTAGTATCCTGCTCAGTTTACTCTGCTCCTTACCACAGACTGCCAATCACTTCATCAAATCTACCTTGTTTATGTTTATAGAGGAGACTGAATTTTTTAAAATCTATCAGAAATAATTGTATTAGTTTTGCACAGAAAAGGATATTACTGATTGCTTAGTGTATTTAAATCTCTTAATAGCCATTAAATAGGTGGTATACATTTATGTTTCAGGTGAAGAAACTGAGGCTCAGTTAATTCAGTAAAAATCAAAAGTTACATATGTAGAAGAGTTGATATTTAAATCTCTTGACTCCCAAGGCCATTGTTCTATCCAGGATCACTAATGTAAGGGAAGAATTCAGAATGAATTCCCAGCATTGGTTGGTGAAATCTGGTAAGATTTCATGAGGCTCTTAGGACACCAACTGATATATGGATCTGCCTGACTACTAAGGTTTTACTGCAGAAGAAGCCTTAACTATATAGCACCAAAATCTAAGGCATAGGAAAAGGAATGAGTTTTTCAGTGATAATTTCTCATCTCTATTTATGCTGATGATAAACTTACTCTGCAGGAGGAGACCAGTTAATTAGTAGTAGTCTTCCCTGGTGTACCCTGAAAATGTTTTAGTTATTTGTTACAGTTTTTTGAAACATAGAGTTGGTATCATCCTTTAATTTTACGGCAGTGATTTGGATAGGATTCTCAAATAGCTGAACCAGTTTTGGTTAGTGTGGACTGGTGATTGCTTCCATGGTAAAGACAGTCCAACTAGTCATCTGGCTAGCTAGATCCACCCAGTCTCAAGGACTGTCAATATTGAACCCCTTTAAGGAATTCTGTAAGGTTAAGGTACTAGCATTTTTTGAGTAAGGACAATATACCTCTCAACATTTTTTTATTTCAGATGAGGCTGTGGACCCAGGCTAGACAGATGGGATGGTACGCAGCCAAGTGCATGGCTGCAGCTACTTTAGGACACTCTATTGACATGGACTTCAGCTTTGAACTTTTTGCTCATGTAACAAAATTCTTTAACTATAAGGTAAGATAAGCAAATTAGTGCCTTTTTCTGCTTGTTAGTCTTGAACTGTGTAACTTCATCATTTGAGTAAATATGTGGTTTTAGTTATTTTACAAAAAAATGACATATTTCTTACACATCAGTACCTAGAATTACTATTGGTCCTAATTCTTAATCACCACATACCTCCCTACTATACTGTTTTATAGTTAAGGGTGGGGGAGGGCATCTCTTCTAGACTTATTCGCTATTGGTGCATTTCATTTGAGATCCATGCTTGCCTTGTAAGGAGAAATAATAGCTATCGTACTCAATGAACCAGGTACTTTGCCAGACTTAATTAACTGTTTTACTCCGAGGCAAGTTTTTTCTTCATAACTTATCCTACATATTTGTTAATTCACTAGATATACTGAATGTTCATATAGATTGTGTGCTAGTGTCATCTGTACAATAAATGCAATGCCATTGGACACTCCCCAGTTTTTGTGAATAGGTTTTTCTGCTGGCCATTCTAGCATAACACAGTATAGCTACATAAAGTATTTCTATTTGTACTTTATCCCTACATTTAGGTTGTATTGCTGGGAAAATACAACGCACAGGGCTTAGGTTCAGATCATGAATTAATGCTGAGATGCACCAAAGGACAGGAATACGTCAAAGTCGTCATGCTGAATGGGCGCATGATGGGAGCAGTCTTGATTGGTGAAACTGACTTAGAAGAAACCTTTGAGAACTTAATTTTAAATCAGATGGATCTTTCATCATATGGAGAAGATCTGCTGGATCCAAATATTGATCTAGAAGATTATTTTGATTAAAAAAAAAAAAAACCTTTCAAGAACTACATACCGTTCCAAATAAGAGAAAGTCACAATAAGGTAAATGACTGCACTGATTTAATAGAAGTGATAATGATTTCAGGGGCAAAAGTTTTAAAATATATTTTTTTCCACCATAAATTTACATTAAGTGCTAGGTTTTAAGTAACTCTTCTGATTTAGCTGTGGGGCAGATTCAGCTAGGTTGTGATCTACTTAGCCAACAGCTTGGTCTGGTATAACAGCATCGTGCTGATTGAAATATTACAGAGAGTTGTGGTTTCAAGAGGCTTTTTGTTTTTTACTTACTACTATCATTTGCATTGATATTCCTTTTGCAGTTGGATTCTAAAGCTGTTAAGAGCTGAAATCACTCCCTTTGTAATAAACCTATATAAAATACTCCATGTGATAACACTGCTATCGAAAGTTATGTAAAAAAAAAATACAATTAAATATATCAAGGTGTGAACTTAAGTATTTTACATTTTTCTCATTTCGTCAATTTTTATAAATCATGATCTCAAATGTTCAAGTCTTCAATATTAATAAAATTGCCTTAAATTACAAAATACTGGTATATACACACATATAATATTTTCTTGGAAAATTTAGAAACACTCTGGTCTTAGATTGTTGGCAGACTTCTGGAAGTTACCTGAATTTTTTTCTTCCCTCCTTTTATCAGCTCCTTATCAGTCCTTCAGAGTGACAAGTTTGAAGCGATTCAGTCTACAAATAAAAACCAAACACTCTGGTCAAAACTCAGCTATTCCATTTTCTCTGCAGATTAATAATCCCCTATATTAGTTAGCTCATTAAGTGTTGGTAGCTTAGTTTTTTATCTTCAAATACGAGCCCTATCTGGAAGGGATTGGTGTCTGAGAAACCCTCATCTACAGACACAGGGTGCATGGTTTTACAGGCTTGAGAGTGCTGTTGGTTTTCAACCTTTGCTACACAGGGAGACTTCTCAACCAGTGTTGATCACAACGAATATTGTGAAGAATCAGGTACTCTGCCTACTTCAGGATCTTGATTAGATCTCTGCAGTATGCTGTTACCTTCTTTCACATGCTATAATGAGATAGATAGGCAACGAGGATTTAGGAATTACAAGGACAGGCTATTCTAGTTGTTAAACTGGCTTAAAATGAGTCCTCAACATGAGCCACCCTAAACACTGATATAGTCTCTGTAAGACATTGTTGAATTTACAGTGACGCAAAGAAAATAACCCGGTTACCACAAAGCCTTTAGAGAGGCTCTAGGAACCAGAATGTCTGCCAGAGACCACTGAGAGATACTTAGAATCAGTCTATTCTTCATATTTAGCTGATTTGTGGTCATTTAGCAATGTTCTAGAAACGGTGGCTTCCCAGGTACACAAGAAATGTCATCAGATATTCCCAACTAGTGATTCTAGCACCCTGATACATATATCAGACTCTTGTTAACTGGTGACTATACCACAATATAATAAACTCCTAAGTTTCTCTAGCTGCAAAGTTAAAACTGTAGTTATCTTCATGCACCCAGGTGTCGGAACTCTGTGAGGGGGAACTGGTTAGTAGCTCTTCAGATACAACATACACGCAGGATGAAAAAAAGTTAAAATACAGCACCAAAACACTGCTGTATTAGTGTCTAATGAGTGATTAGCCATTATCTGGTTTAAAAATAATTCACTATAATACCTTTTGCATTAAATTTCTCTTCCCAGTCACTATAAATGCCTAGAGATTAGCCTTTTTTTATATATAAATAGCACTTCCATTCAGAGGGTTGAAACTTTCCCTTTCATTTCTTAAAAAGTTAACATGCCCTTAGTACAGCAATTTACATCCATACACACACCACTTATCCCATTTTATTATTTTTATTGTTTTAAAACTTTGTTACTTTTGAATCTAGAAAAGAATCTAGAAAATGCTATTCACAGCTTGGTTAATGTTTTAAATCCATGATGGGATCTAATAATTCTCCCATGTAGTCCTAGCTATATATATTAGATTGTAAAGATTTAAAAACAATGAACCAGGGGGCGTTCCAGTCCAAGATATCAACCTAGGAAGATCCTGGATTGGGCACACCAAATCTACACCTATTTATAGGCAACTCCTCCTGAAGAACTGAGGACTGACTGGACAGCTTCCGTACAACAGAAGATAGACCACACGCAGAACAGCAACGAGGACTGACACATGGTAACCAAGGGTACCCCGCCCCTGATGCTGCAAACTGCAGTGGGGAGAATAGTAATGAGGTACCAGGAGCAGATTCATCTACCCTGGGCCACAGAAAATAAAACCCATGGCTTAAAAGAGCAACAAGAATATAAAGGAACTAGCCCTTGAACCCTGCTAAATGGTAGGGGCGCTGCTGCAACCCCCTCTGGGTTGGAAGGTCTATTATGTGCACAGCTTATGCACCCTCTCACCACCTTGACAGCATAGATGGGAGCAGGGTCCAGGTGTCCTAACCAGCCCACCACCTCAGTGAGCTCTGACACCAGCCCCGGCTGTCCCACCAGGGCAGCCCCATGGTGGTGCACACCAGGAAGCCCTGGCCTGCGCTCACTCCAGCTCCCCCCGTCTCCCCACATGGAGGCAGCCACAAAGCACATTGGAACACTTCAGGCCAGCACCACTTTGGCCTCAGACAGCTTTCTAGGACACCCCTGGCTAAGGCCTTTTTTCAGCTCCAGCTGCCCTGCCAGGACACCCTGGCTTAACACCCACACTTCAGCTTCCTTCCAGGGCACCGACCATACAGAGAGCCCTAGGGTGACCCCAGCTGATGCCCCTTTCAGTTATAACTGCCCAAGTTGTCCCCTGTACAAAGCACCAGTGACCAGCCCAGCCACCAACCCACCTCAGCTCCAACTGCTGCCACCAAGGTACCTCCTGCACACCCCAGAACACTCCAGCTTACACCCACTAGGGTTTCAGCCAGCATGCCCTCAGCACAGAGAATCCCATGACTACCCATGGCTTATACCCACTTCTGCATTAGCTGTCTTGCCAGGGTACCCAATGCAAAGAGCCTTACTCAGGACTCACACCTACTTAATCTCCCACTATTCCACCAGGGCAGCCCCAGCATGGGGTGCACTGCAACCCTCGGCCAATCCAGACAGCAAAAGTCACCAGATATATACAGTCAACACAGGGGACAACCACACACAAAGACCATTCCTTCAAGTTTAGGAGGAGTAGCTCTTCTGCCTAATTCACAGAAACAAACACAAAGAGAGACAGAGGAATGTGCTCTGAATGAGAAAAAAAACAAAAAACTAAACCTCAGAAAAAGACATTAATGAAATGGAGATAAGCAATATGCCTGATGAAGAATTTAATTGGTCATAAAGATGTTCACTGGACTATAGAAGAGTGGAAGAACTCCATGGGAACATTGTTAACAAAGAACTGGAAAATATAAACCAATCAGAGTTGAAGAATACAACCGAAATGAAAAATACACTAAAGGGAATCAAAAGTAGATTAATGACTCAGAAGAATGATGCAGAAGATGGAGTTATGGAAAACAGCCAAACTGAACAGCCAAAATAAGTAATATTTTTTTCTTAAGTAAACTCTGCCCAGCATGAGACTTGAACTCATGACTCCTTGATCAAGAGTCGCATGTTCCACCCACTGAGCCAGTCAGGTGCCCCCCACCCTACCCAATATAAAGAATTTTTTTTTTTTTTCTAGGAGAGAGAGAGACAGCATGAGCAGGGGAGGGTCAGAGAGAGAGGGAGTCACAGACTGAAACAGGCTCCAGGCTCTGAGCTGGCAGTCAGCACATAGCCCTACGTGGGGCTCTAACCCACGAACCTCGAGATCATGACCTAAGCGAAAGTCGGACGCTTAACGGACTAAGCCACCCAGGCGCCCCAAGAATTTTTTAAAATGAGGATAGGTTAAGGGATCTGTTGGACAACATCTAGTGAACATTCATATTATAAAGATCCCAGAAGGAGAGAAGGGCAGAAAACTTATTTGAAGAAATAATAGCTGGAAACTTCCCTAACCTAGGGAAGGAAATAGACATCCAGATTCAGGAAGCCTTTTAGAGTCCCCCTAAGATGAACTCATGGAGGCCCACACCACAACACGTAATTAAACTGTCAAAGGCTAAAGAGAGAATTGTAATAGCAAGAGAGAGAAGGAAACCCCATAAGGCAATCAGCTCATTTTTCAGCAGAAACTTTGCAGGCCAGAAGAGAGTGGCATTATACAATCCTAGGTCCTAAAGGGGCTGGGGGGGAAGCCCTACAATCAAGAATACCTGACAAGATTATCATTCAGAACTGAAGGAGAAGGAGTTCCCAAAACAAGGAGGAATTCATCGCCACTAAACTGGCCTTAAAAGAAATGCAAAAGGGACTTCTTTAAATGGAAAAGAAAAAACCACTAGACATAAGGAAGCTATATATAAAAGATGTAAAACTGGCAACATATACATAAACCGTGGAAAGGAGAGTGAAAAGGAAGTTTTTAGAATGTGTTATAAATGCCTGTCAATTCAGTGTAGATTGCTTTATATTTAGGATGTTCTTTATAAAGCTCATGATAACCACAATCCAAAACCAAATTAGATTAAAAGAAAATTAAATTTAAGAAGACTGCATCTTTTCTGACCACAACAGTATGAAACTAGAAATCAATCTAAAGAAAAAAACAAAAAAATATAAATGTCGATGGTAAACAACATACTTCTACACAACCAATGGGTTAACAAAGAAATTTTAAAATACATGGAGACAAAGGGAAATGAAAACACAATGGTTCGAAATCTTTGGGGCACAGCAAAAGCTGTCCTAAGCAATTTAGTGCAATAGAAGCCTACCTCAAACAACAAGAAATTTAACCTTATGCCCAAAGGAAATAGAAAAAGGACAAAACCCAAGGGAAGTGGAAGGAAGGATATAATGAAGATTAAAGCAGAAGTAAATGAAATAAAGACTTAAAAAAATAAAGGAAACCAAGAAGTGGTATTTTGACAAGACAGATGAAATTGATAAGCCTTTACCCAGATTCATCAAGAAAAAATGAGAGGACTCAAAATCAGAAATGGAGGAGAAGGAACAACTGACACCACAGAAATACGAAAGACTGTAAGAGTATTATGAAAAACTATATGCCAACAATTGGAAAACCTAGAAGAAATAGGTAAATTCCTAGAAACCTATAATTTTCCGAAACTGAATAAGGGAAAATGGAAGTCTGAACAGACCAATTATTAGTAACAATACAAAAACTACCAATAAGGGACCAAGACCAGATGGATTCATAGATAAATTCTACCCACCACTTAAAAAAAAGTTAATGCCCTATCTCCTCAAACTATACCAAAAAAAAAAAAAAGGAAGATAAAGGAAAGCTTTTAAATACATTCCATGAGGCCAGACTCCCCCTTGATCCGAAAAACAAAGACAACAGACAAAAAGAACACGATAGGCCAATATCCCCAATGCACATAAATGCAAAAATCTTCATCAAAATATTAGCAAACCACATTTAACAGTACATTAAAAAGATCATTCATGTGGCGCCTGGATGGCTCAGTTGGTTAAGCGTCTAACTTCAGTGCAGGTCATGATCTCACGGTTGGTGGGTTCAAGCCTGGTGTTGGGCTCTGTGTTGACAGCTAGCTCAGAGCCTGGAGCCGGTTTCCGATTCTGTGTCTCCCTCTCATTCTGACCCTCCCCTGCTTGCTCGCTCGCTCACTCAGAAATAAATAAAACGTTAAATATTTTTTTTCAAAAAAGGATCATTCATAATCAAGTGGAATTGATTCTGGGGATACATGGATAATTCAATATTGGCAAATCAATTACACATTTATGAGAGGAAGGGGCACCTGGGTGGCTCAGTCACTTAGGCGTCCGACTTCAGCTCAGGTCATGATCTCACAGTTCGTGGGTTTAAGCCCCACACTGGGCTCTGTGTTGACAGCCAGCTCAGAGACTGGAGCCTGTTTCAGATTCTGTATCTCCCTCTCTATATGATCCTCCCCTGCTCACGCTGTCTCTCTCTCTCTCAGAAATAAATAAAAACATTTAAAAAATAAAAAAAAAAAAGGAAGAGTAAAAACCTTATGATCATCTCAATAGATGCAAAAAAGCATTTAACAAAATTCAACATCTGCTTATGCTAAAAACTCAACAAAGTGAGTTTAGAGGGAACATACCTCAACATAATAAAGTTAATACATGAAAAATTTGCAGCTTATACTTGATGAAAAACTGGGAGTTTCTCCACTATACTCAGGAACGAGACAAGGATGTTCACTCTCATCACTTTTGTCTAACATAGTACTGGAAGTACTAGCCACAGCAATCAGACAAGAAATAAAAGAAACCCATAGTTGTAAGGAAAAAGTTAAAATGCCACTATATGCAGGTGACAAGAACTATGCAAAGAAAACCCTAAAGACTCCACCAAAAACTATTAGAATAAGTGAATTCAGTAAAGTTGCAGGATACAAAATTAATACACAAATCAGTTATGTTTCTATACTCTAATACTGAAGTAGCAGAAAGATCAAATTAACACAATTCCATTTATAATTGCACCACACATAATAAAATACCCAGGAATAAACTTAACCAAGAAGGTGAAAGAACGTGTACTCTAATAAAAGAAACAATGATGAAAGAAATTAAAGGTGACATATGCAAATGGAAAGATAGTCCATGCTCATGGATTGGAAAATTCCTACTACACGAAGCAGTCTATAGATTCAGTGCAATCTCTGTCAAAATACCAACAGCATTTTTTCATAGAACTAAAATAATCCTAAAATTTGTATGGAACCACAGAAGACCTCAAATAGCCAAAGAAATCTTGAGGAAGAGGAACAAAGCTAGATTTCATATCCCAGATTTCAAGATACAGTAGAAAACTATAATAACCAAAACAGTATGTTACTACCACAAAAAAAGATGCAGATCAATGGGACAGAACAGACAGCCCAGAAATAAATCCACACTTATATGGTCAATTAATCTATGACACAGAATGCAAGAATATACAATAAAGAAAAAGTCTGTACAATAAATAGTGTTGGGAAAACTGGACAGCTACATGCAAAGACTGAAACTGAACCACTTTCTTACACCATACACAGAACCAAACTCAAAATGGAATAAAGACCTAAATGTGAGACCTGAAACCATAAAATGCCTGAAGAGAACATTAGGTAGTAATTTCTTTAACATCAGCCATAGTAAAATTTTTCTGAATATGTCTCCTACCACAAAAAAAAAACAAAGCAAAAAATCAATTATTGGCTCCACACCAAAAAAGCTTTTCCAGAATGAAGAAAATCATCAACAAAACTAAAAGGTAACTTATTGAATGGGAGAAGATATTTGCAAATGACATATCCAATAAAGGGTTAGTATCCAACCTATGTAAAGAACTTATAAACTCAACACCAAAAAAGCCAAATAATCCAATTAAAAAATGGGCAGAAGACCTGAATAGACTTTTTTCCAAAGAAGACCTACAAATAGCCAACAGACACATGAAAAGAGGCTCACCATCACTAATCATCAGGGAAATGCAAACCAAAACCACAACGTGGGATCACTTCACACCTTGCCAGAATGGTTAAAATCAAAAACACAAGAAGCAAGTGTTGGTGAGGATGGGGAGAAACGAATCCTTGTGCACTGTTGATGGCAATGCAAATTGGTGCAGTCACTGTGGAAAACAGTATGGAAGTTCCTCAAAACATTAAAAATAGACTTACCATATGATCCAGTAATTCCACTACCAAGTATTTACCCAAAGAAAACGAAAACACTAATTTGGAAATATCTATGCAACCCTCTTTTGACAGCCAAGATATGGAAGCAACTCAAGTGTCCATTGACAGATGAATGGATAAAGAAGATATGGTATCTATTCACAATGGAATATTAGCCATAAAAAAGAAAGAGATCTTGCTATTTGTAACAACATGAATGGAGCGAGAGGACATTATGCAAAATAAGTCAAAGACAAATGCCATAGGATTTCACTTATATGTAGAATCTAAGAAACAAAGGATAAACAAAACCCAGAAACTGACCTATAAATACAGAACACAAAGTGATGTTTGCAAGAGAGGAGAGAAGGTAAAATGGGTGAAGGAGAGTGGGAGATTCAGGCTTAACAGTAATGGAATGAATACGTAATGGGGATGAAAGGTACAGCACAGGGAATATAGTCAATGGTATTATAATTGCACTATATGGGGACGGATGGTAGCCACACTTGTAGTGGGCACAGCATAATGTATAGCCTTACCAAACACCTGAAAATAACTTTATATGTCAACGTACTTCAGTTAGAAAAAAGGAAACTCAACAAATGCCTTTACATCAATTATCACACATTTTCTTGCATGCTTCTGAATTCCATAGTTCATCAAAATGTTGAGCTATCAATACACAGTGACATTGCAAACACATTTTGAGATAAAAATTATTAAGTGACCGAATAAGTTTTAAGAATTCATAATTCAAAACACAGTTATATATCCTATTCTTTTCCTATTGCTATCATAACATTACCATAAACTTAGTGGCTTAAACAAATTTATTATCTTACATTTCTATAGGTTAGAAGTCTGACATGGGTCTCCCTGGATTAAAATCAAGGCGTCAACAGGGATGGATTTCCTTTGGAGGCTCTGGGGAAGAATCTGTTTCCTTGTCCTTTCCAGTTTCTGGAGACTGCCTTAAATTCCTTGGTTAATGCCCCCCTTTACCCCATCTTCAAAGCCAATGAGTATCATTCTGACCTTTCCTGCTTCCTTCCACATTTAAGGACCCTTGTGATTATACCGGACCCACCCAAACAACCCAGGGTTATATCCATATTTTAAGGTTGATTGTCAACCTTAATTCCATTTGCAATGTTAATTCCCTTTTGCCATGGAAGGTAACTTACAGTTTCCAGGAATCTGAATGTAGACATCTTTGGGGGACTGGTTTTCTGCTCACCACATATAATTTTTTTCCATATGTACCCTAAACATTGATTTTGAAATTGTCAGATTCACTTCAAGATTCAGTATTTTGCAACTATTAAATAATCTTCCTGAATAGCAAAGTAGTTTCTTGTATTTTGCAGTATCAGTTTCACTCTAAACCACAAAATGTACTTCTTGGGGGGTCTACTGGATATCTAATGAAACTTTCATTTTCCTATTTAACTAGATGATTGTGCCATCTATAGGAAAGAAATGACATTTTTGTCCAGTTACTGCTTATCAGTTCAAAATTTTTGAGTCGTATAAAGATGACTAATACTAAGAAGCCATCAGGGAACTATATGGTCTCATTAAAATCACCCTAAATGGACTTAAATTTATTTCTTAAGCAGAAACTTAACTCTGTTCTTAATTATTTCATCAACCCATCAGCTGGTGACATGGTACATTACTAAGCTCAATTCTCAAAATGCCAAAATTATAAAGCATGTAGCTATATGCCAGTGCCAGAGAGAAAAGGCTTACATTCATTGTCAATTTATATCAAAACTTTCCATAAAAGGGGGGATGGATGAAATAGGATTAAGAGGTACAATCTTCTAGTATAAAATAAAGATGACGGGGAAGTAATGTACAGCAGAGGGAATACAGTCCATAATATTGTACCAACTCTGTAGGGTGACAGAGGGTAACTAGACTTATTGTGGTGATGACCATTTTGTAATGTATGAGAATACTGGATCACTATGTTGTAAACCTGAAATTAATACAATATTCTATTTCAATTATTCTTCAATTTAAAAAATTAGCATCTCAGTATACTTGTTTCACTTAAAAGAAAAACTCCAAAAAAATCATTTTGGAGGATCATCACATAGAGAGAGAATATTTTATTGAATTAATGCAAATCCTGAGGATTCATATACTGGTTCCCACCCTTCAAATACTTCTTTTTACAGATTTATACTTGATACTCTACCAGTGTATTTACTTACTGAACAAGTACTCAAAGTAATTTCCTAGACTTTCATACTGTGCATATGTTTAAATTCAAATAAATAAATTAAAAAAGTTATGAAAAGGTATGTGACTTACTTGCTTATGTTTTGACAGTATGACACCATCTCATAAAGGTTCTGTTGTCCCACATTTTCCATCACCACCATTCAACTTATTCTGAATATATCTCCAAAGCTATAATACAAAATACAGTCTGCCCTCATGTCATCTTGGCCTGTAGTGTGAGAAATCTTGAGATTGCACAACTACCTGGAAAATTCAAAATTTGCAAAAATATATATAGAAAATCAGATGGCAATGCTTTACAGTCTAAATATATCACATCTAGAAAGTTCAGAGACGTGAAAGTTAATTTGTATTAGCTTCTCTCAAATTATAAAAAGAATGACTAGAAACTTAATCCACTTTATAAGTTAAAAAATATATACATAAGTAATCCAGTTATTGAAGTTATAGATTAAAAACCACTAATTAAAAATTCAGAAGGCAAAGATGGACATCAAATTATCTTAGCAAACAGAGGAAACAATTCATAACATTCCAATATAAGTAAAGTAAGCATGTAAGTAAAAAACTGCAAAAAAAATGACTTCATTGTTCTAAAAATACTAGCTAATAAAGATTCAGAATACAGAATTACTAAACATAGTGTGCTCTTTAGAAAAACCCTGTTAAAAGTTACTTCTGGATAGGAGTTATACATACCTGCATATCCTTGGTAATAATTTTCAATAGATTTACTCAATGATGAATAACAAACCACCCGTCCCCTTTACCAATTCCCATATCAAATGGAATGTGGCCACTACTGTCTTTATACTTTATACTTTATTTATTTTTTATTTATTTTTATACTTTATGTTAATTAAATCAAGATGAAATGTTTTTAAGTGTTAATTAAGCTTCTATTGAAGCTATATACTTAACCTGAATTTCACTGGCTGATCATCAGTCTTATCTTCTGGTTCCACATTGGCATGGTATGCACCTGCTTGAATTTCCCAGTTTCTGTAAACTAACTGTAACTTGCTCAGAGTCTTTCCAAGAAAAGCAATATATGATTCCTGTAGCAAATATGACCAATTGATAGATACAGTATATACTGGAAAGATCATTTTTAACACATAAATTCAAGATACTGATTAATACAATGCATGGAACATTTAGGAAAAATGCCAATGTCCTGAACACATAATGACTTTCTGATATAATTCAAGACTTGATCAGCAGCTTGCTCTAAAGCAGAAATAAGCTGTGGGCCACCAGTTTTGGTTTCTATTACCTTTTTTTTCTCCCAAATATGATGTGAAAAGTTTCATATGCAAAGAAGTTTGGGGACCACTGCACTAAACAAAGTTGAACAGGTTTCTCTCTCTTTGCAGGGCTGGCCAGAACTGCTAATGTGCTGATATACCCTGTGAAGCTCCAGGGGGATGAATAGCTGTAGCCTTTCTCAAATTTGACCCTGGAGCTCCTGTTACCCTGAGTCCCCATTAATGTTTCCTGAAAATCTGTCGAACAACTTTGAAATGCTACCTTTCCACAAACTCTGTGCTTCAGTAATGCTCATCTGTGCATTAATCCAGGAAAGATAAAGAGATACTCTCAAGTCTATGTATAGTTACCTCATTCAGTGTGTACTATTTATTCTTCAATGTGTCCTTTGCTATCAAGGACTGTATTTTACATACTTGGAGAAAATCACTGTTTAACCTTCTATCTTATACATAGTGGATAATTACCAAATATGTGCTGTTGATAATTAGCATTATGTCATTAGGTCTACTATTTAAAACAATTAGGTGCAAATAAAAAAAATAATAAATCAGTTTTAGGAGTCTTATGATCTGTCCCATTGGCAAAAGACACACCCAGTGTCTAAGATCACCAAGCAAATTAATTTTATCAAAACATTTTCAAGTATGTGCTGCCATGCACTAATATTTTTGGTTGCTTATCATTCATCAGTATATCAGTGTAATATTATTTTTTGAAAGTTCTCTCTCAATCTTCAAAGTTGGATGGGTTTTGTTTTTAAAGAATTTTATGTCTTTTTTTTAAGGTTTTTTTTTTAAATGTTTTTTATTTATTTCTGAGAGAGAGAGAGAGAGACACAGAAGCTGAAGCAGGCTCCAGGCTCTGAGCTAGCTGTCAGCAAAGAGCCCAATGTGGGGCTCGAACCCACAGGCTGTGAGATCATGACCTGAGCCGAAGTCGGACGCCTAACAACTGAGCCACCCAGGCGCCCCCGTCTTTATTTTGAGAGACAGAGACAGAGAGGGAGCGGATGAGGGGCAGACAAGAGAGGGAGACACAGGATTTAAAGCAGGCTCCAGGCTCTGAGCTATCAGCACAGAGCCCGATGCAGGGCTAGAACCCACGGACTTTGAGATCATGACCTGAGCCGAAGTCGGACCCTTAACCGACTGAACCACCCAGGCGCCCCAAAGTTGGTGTTTTATATTACTCTCAAAAAAGAACTCTACAATATCCCTGATAATATCTGCCAAATCTAAGAAAAAGCTAACTTATTACAAAGTAAATTAATGAGTACCATCCATGTAGCTATTTACCTACAACTTTCAGGGTGCGGATCTTTAATGGGCATAGTGCTTTTTCTTTTACCTTTCAATCAATCGCCTCCCCTGACCCTGCCACCTCCCAGACTCTTCCTGATCCTTAGTTCTGAATTTACCAGAGTTGACGAGGCACAGAGCAGTGAACAACTTGTAAAGATAGAGACCTTTTTATTTTCTGATGCTACTTTTATAAAAACATAAACCATGCCATAAATAACTTAAATGAAAACTCAGAAAAATATTAAATCTATTCTTAGAAGGACTAGAAAGAAACAAACAGTTGTTATATAATCTAAACAGAATACTAGCAAATCTTTAATGGCATATTAATTGTGTATTATTTCATAATTATCTTCAATAAAGAGGTCATTAGGATTCTTGGTATCAATCTATGCCTTCCCTCCATCCTTGCACAAGAATGTACATAAACTGCACAAGGCAATGTCTTTTATTTAGCCTAGGAAAGGATTATGCAGCACAAGAGATATATGAAGAAAGCATTAATTATTTGCTTATAATCACCTTCTGTTTTAAAAACTTTTAAACAGTTGTTAGTTATGTAAATAAACATAATGAAAAGGTAACCTCAGGGAGCCTGGGTGGCTCACAGTCAGTTAAGTGTCTGACTTTTTATTTCAGCTTATTCATTATTTCACAATTCTTAAGTTTGAGCTCTGCACTTGGATCCGTGCTCACAGTGCAGAGCCTGGTTGGGATTCTCTCTCTCTCTCTCTCTCTCTCTCTCTCCACGTCCCCCCCACCTCTGCCACTCCCTTGCTTACACACATGTGCTCTCTCTCTCCCCCAAAATAAGTAAATCAACTTAAAAAAAAAAAGGCAACCACTACTGTAATCCTTCATGGAAGTAATAAGTTGACATAAAAGTTACACACCTCATAATAAAGATTTGGCTGATTAAAACAAGCTGTGAAAACAAAACACTTTTCCACACAAAGTATTTTCTGGGCATCCTTCAAAACATGGCTCATTGAGGCTGCAGTCAGCCCGATGAGGGCCATGTCAGGGAACTGCCACTTCAAGATACCAAGTGCTTTGTAATGTGGTAAAGAAAACCTACAAAGTGGCCCACTTTCTATCCTTAAGGAGTAAATTACATCTTACCATTACACAGTTAACCAATGATCACTGTAATTCTATTTCCATAGCTAACTATATCTAATCAGCATGTGCTGTCTGGCTTTTCTAAGTAGGTAGGCTTTCGGATATTTTTAGCTGGTTGTTCAGAAATACTGTTCTTGACCATAGGTAGAAGTCCTTGTTGAAGAGAGAAAACCAAACCGTTTCCAGTAAGCTGTGCACTGTTCTACACCCTCTGACCAGTGGATTCAAGATGCAGTGGGAGTGGCCATAGTGTGAGAATCTCTTACAACAGACAAGGGATAAAAGAGGCCATCAGCTAAAACTCTTCTACCACTACTACCATGCAAGTATGGCAAATTCAGACCAGAAAACTTTTGGTGAGAGCACTAGTTTTTATAGAACTTATTTCCAGGAAATCATTCTGAGCACGTATTTGTCATCAACACTTAAATCACTAGATTAGTTGTCCTTATGTATTTAACTATTTGAAGAAAGTGGAAAAGAACTATGGTAGAAACTGCTAACTGCAAAGCTACAGGACTACGGGGGCACCTGGGTGGCTCAGTTGGTTAAGAG